AATTTAAAGATATTTTGATTGTAAATATATATATATATATATATATATATAAAGTCCACGAAACAAGCGGATTAAATCCTGTGATTGGTCTAACAATTTTTCCGAGAAAACGCGTGACCCAATAAAACTCAGAGTCGAGCATTATCAGTGGTAGGTGTTTATAATTTATACGCCACATGTTATCGTACTACAGCATTTCCTTTTCAACATAGGATTGAGATATCACAAGAAATCTGACAAAATTGAAATACGAATTGTGTGGCGCCGTGGAAAGAATACCGTTGTTTAGGTTTGAACTTGCACAACAGATTCGAAGTTTGCTGCGGGTGGAAAAATATGGTTAGATGCGATTGGATTTGCGTTCATATCTGTTGGTGGAAGTTAGTATTGTTTTTCTCTATTTGAAAATAAATATATTTAATAAAAACTTAGAACAATAGAATCGTTTAAAATTAACTTAAAAAAAAAAAAATGAATCAGTAGTTAACCTTGACCCTACCACATCAATGCCTTAAAAGTTAGTATCGGTGTTAATTTGACAAAGTTCTTGTTGGTTTTAAATTGATTATATTATGCAACTTACATGCCGAAACGCTTCTAACACTTTAATATAAATATCTAACACTTTAATATAAATATATAGGTAGGTACAACATGTGATATCGATAAATTTCATGGAATCAATGGATTGAAAATCCTCCAGCCTGGACAACACGTTCTACTGTTATACTGGCACACCCATTTCTTGACTTATTCCAATAGAAGATTAGTTTATCTTTTTTTCTTTTTTTCTTTTTTTTTTTGCAAGAATTTTAAAGAATTTGGCATTTTGCCATAAGCAGACAGGAGAGAAACTCCATTCGTTTAAAGCTGTTGTATCTTATTAATGAAGGAGTCAACAATTGGTAACTCGAATATTAAAATCTTTGAATTCAAGCTATAGCGTTTTGTTAATGATTTGAAAAGTAAGATACAAAGAAAAAGTTTGCTTGAAAATTTTGAATCAGAATGCAACTTGAGTGATTGATCCTGCTCTTCTGTATTTAGTTCAAATAAGTTACAAAGCCCGAGGGTAGGTTAAGAAACATAGACGAGAACAAGAGGGAGAACGTTAGTGGCTGATTTGGTGCCATCAAACATCAGAGTGGGAATTACACTTTTGACTTTGAATAATTTAAATTAATGTAAAACGATGAAAAGAAGAAAAAGAGGTAAAAGACTGATAATGAATTTGGTCAGAATCCAACCAACAGTCAAGTAAGCTGCCTGAATGATCAATGGGAAACAAAGAAGGTTAAAATACAAAAATATGTCCCTTAACTTTTAGATTCATACCAATTTGATCCTTTAACTTTTAAAAGTATCAAAAAATCCTTAAACAATTAAATTCGGTACTATTTTGGTTCTTCCTTTAACTTTTCGGCTTACAGAGGATAACTATCGTCAACAAAAGCTAAGGTGGCATGCTTACGCTGGTGATGTGGCAAAAACCCTCTTTGAAAAATGGACGGTGCAATAAGGACAAATTTTTTATATTATCTTTTAATATAATTTTTACGTGTTATTAAATAAGTGAATATATTTAATATTACATATTTTATATGAATAAAAAAAATCAATTATTTAAATAATGCATCTGATTCTATTAAAAAGTAATATAAAAAAATTGTTTCAAAATTATTTTTCTTGAAAAATTTATTTACTAGTAATGGTTAATGAATAAAATGAATATACTGGGACCACTCATCTCTTTTCTTTGTAATTGTGGACCCACCGATCTTAGTTACTACTACATTATTTGTATTTTCTCTCTCCTTCAAAGACGTCCCCGCCCCAACCCATCCCTCCTTTGATCTCTCCACCTACTTTGGCGACTATTCATCTCTTTCTCCACAAAATAATCAAGCAATTCATAAACGCAAGAAGACAGAAATCCTAAAAACAAAAACTAAGACAACAAAACCACACATTTAAGTAACAAAAATGATATAGTTATAATATGATGTGCTATCATAAATTTATAATATAATATATCATTATAATATATTGTTATATAGTTAATTTTTTTACTTAATAATTTATATGTGATATTATATACATATGTATGTTTAATGACATATTTAGCTCATATAACATTACATCATGACGCAATGACCTAAGTAATTTGAAGGTAATTATTTTCTACTGAAAATAAAATATTCTGATTGCGAGTCATATAACATGTGAATGGGGTGAAATAGGAGATATGAGAGGACTGCCTCCAGTTGTGTAATTAACATCAAAACAAAAAAAAAATATATATCATGTAATAATTATAAATCTTTAATTTTATGTGATATTATAATTATAATATTATTATTTAATTAAATACTTAGCAGTAAACAATTAGCTTAGAGTACGGATCAAGATCTAAACAATTTGGCAACAAAATCTTTCTTCTATTTGTCAATTGAAAGTACTACTTGCTTAAACCTAGAAATAGTACAAACCCACAGGGATGGAGTCAAATTTTTGGGTAAGGGTGGCAAAATCTTAAAACCTTTTAGAATTATGATAAATTTACATCAATATAAGTTATATTAATTTTTAACCATGAGTTATATAATTTGTTAGTAGAGTTATGTATACTTATAATTTATTAACAGAGTTATGTATACTTTTAATAATAAGTTTAGAGTTTGATCTATCGTTTTTATGTATAAAAAATTTATATCACCTTTTTATATTAATCACTAATTTTATATGTAAATATACTATTTATAACATATGTGCCAAATCTTAATCAATGAAATATATTTAATTATTTTTACATAAGATATGATTGAATAACCTTAAACAAATAATATAAAATAATAAGAAAAATGTTAGTAAGTTGGATCTAGAAAAAATTATAAGAAAAATATTTCAAAACTATGCCATTTAAATAAATTCTAATTAAAATAAATAGACTAAATTATTATATTTTTAATGTAAGAATGAAGACTATATTAGTATTTTTTTCGTGATACTTTATAGAACATCCTAATTTTGAAGTTTTTCGTTTTTATTTTTTTTTTTGCATTGTCTAGTGAATAAATAATAATTTTATGCAAAATATAATTTCTCTTTTTTTATATAGTTATAGATATTAATGAACTTTAAATTAGAATATCAAATCCAATTATTGAATTAATAAAATAAAAATTGTACAAAGAATTATAACTAGTGTTAAATCTTTTTTTATATTCAAATAAAATTATTTATCTTAAGAATGGATTACAAAAGTAGAAATGATCCACTTACCTATCTCCTAAATATTTCCTTTAAATTCAAAATGGTTCTTCTAATTCAAACATCAAAAAACAAATTTTGTACTAATTAAAAATTAATGTACTGCATTAAACATTTTTCAAGAGCTTAGCGGGGGCAGCTGCCCTCACCCCTCCCCCTCCCCCCCCTTCTCTTCTTGTCCTACGGTAGTTCCCTCCTTGCAAACCCGCTAGGAAAGTCGACCCAATTACTAGAAAATTTCATCTTCAAACCTCGATTCCAAAAAGGTTAAATGCCAATTTTAAGTCCTTAAACTTTTAATTTTAAATATTTTTAATCCTTAAAACTTTAAATATCTTAAAATATACCTCACCTATATCTGAAAGCTATTTTCTCCGAGGCATTTTAATAGGTCATGGATCCAATTCTCATCATCAGTCCTGTTACTTATCACAGGTACTAAAACTGCAAAGCTACAGACGTCATTCTCAACCTCTGC